GTGGTGGTCTAGCGGTTAGAACGCTGGCCTTGTAATCCTGGGGTCTCGGGTTCGATTCCCGGTGGTGCCCGAATTTATAACTTGTGTTGGGCAAGGCCGTGGTCTAGGCAACACGGAGTTTTCCTCCGTGGCATCCCAACAATTACTCCATTCACACACAGAAGAAGGCAATGGAAAACCACTTCTGGATAATCTGCCAAGAACGTATATGAACAGGTCCCAGTCCGAGAAAAGGATGGAAGGATCCTGTTCATATGGACCTGTCGTCATATACGAATAAAAAAAATAAAATATCTGATACACTATACTTTTGTATTCCATTTTTCCTCTGATATTTGATAAATATATTAGGGTTGTTCAAATGAAATCCATTTGTGCCAATGCTAGAGATTACAGGCAGTTTGCAGGCAATTACATGGCTGTGTGTGCACCACAGAACAAGCACATCTGAGCAAACAGGCACAGTGTGACACAGTTAAGTCCCAGCATTCCAGGTGTAGGGTCTCCATCTGGACCACATTGTCCAGGGCACTGGACTAGACCACATTCCACTCATGAAATTGCAAAAGAGCCGTAAATTCATGTCGGGTGAAAATGTCATGACCACAGTGGTGCACTGGTTTTAGCAGCAGCTCATGGAGTTGATTGTAGAGGCCGTCTCTCGGCTGGCACGCGAGTGCAATGCCTGGTTCAGTGCCCATGAGGGCTTTTTTAATTGCCTCTACTCCTTTATACAGAACGATCCCAGAAAAGGTTTCATTTGAACATGGCTCGTAAACTATGCATTGAGTACTGTGTTGATCTTTAATACCTCACTAATGAAAGCAAAAATAATTATGTATTTATTAAATTAAATTTTACATTTTCAGTAAAACTGTGAGCCTGTTATGAATCTTTAGATTGTATATAGTGAGAAATGCAAATAAATGAAGTAAAGTTTGTCCCGCTACGTGCCATGTAGGCGCTTGGGGGGAGAGGAGGTATAGCTCCTCTCTTCCTTGACCTCGACACTAGATGGGGGTGAGTGGTCAGCATCACGCCCCGGGAAAGGACCCCGGTACCCATTGTAGAGGAGGCTGGGTGGGCCCCAGAGCCGGTCTGGATGCAGAGGCTAGAGGAAAAATCCTCTGCCCACGTCGGGGATCGAACCCCGGTCGTCCAGCCCGTAGCTAGTCACTACACTGACTGAGCTATCCCGGCTCATACTGAGTAACTGAGTATGAACATAATATTAACCTAGACATTACCAGGTAAAAAAAAGTCTTCATTATTGCTAATCGTCAAGCTGTTGGGGGTGGAGGTCCATTTGATTCCTTGCATCCCAGTAGTACTCAATTGTATGTGTAGATGAGCATTGGTTTCAGGTATGGCTTGACATTGTAACAGATGATTCCTGTATAATTTGGAGTTTGACTCTGATAGGAAATACAGAATTTGTTTACACATCAGGAATAAAACACTTAATTCCTTCCATTCTGCAGAAAACCAGTTGCTAACAACACAAGACGATGGTGACCTAGATAGATATGAAGGAAATTACAAAATGAATATCAATCACAGGGCTTTACATTCCAAATGTAATAAAAAACTTTTCAGCAGTGCTAGTGCAATGCACGGCCAGCTGGACTGGATGTAAGAAGCAACACGTGGTGGAAAAAGGTTAAACAGCGATGACTCAAAACACATCCAGCCACTACAGGCTTAGCAGATATCACAACACCAAAAACTGAAGGGTAACTATGTAATTCATGGATCAACTTTGATATACACAGGTAGAATCCAGTGTGGTGAACTGAAATCATGATAACTTTGCTTAAAGGCAAGTTCAATAAAATAAATAAAGTAGGTATTTGCCTCATTCATGGTTCGATCCCTGACGAGGGCAGAGGATTCTTCCTCCAGCCTCTGTGTCCAGACCAGCTATGGGGTCCACCCAGTCTCCTATTCAATGGGTACCGGGGTTCCAGCCCTCAACGCCTTGTCTGTGAAGCAGTTTTTAGCTAATAAAAACATCACTGTGCTTGACCACCCACCCTATTCGCCAGACCTCGCTCCCTGCGACTTCTACCGGGACGGCTTTTACTTTTTACTTGCCTCATTTATGAGCTCCAGCAGCTCTGCCAGTATAATATCTAACTATGGACTGGATGACTAAGGTTCGATCCCTGGCAGGGGCAAAGGATTTTTCTTCTAGTCTCTGCATTCAGACTAACTTTGGGGCCCACTCAGCATAGTGTCAAATAAATTCCAGAGACCCTTTTCCCAGGAGTAACCCATGGCCAGGTTGTGACACCGACCATTCACCCCCATCTAGAGCAAAGGTCAAGAACGAGTACGAGCTATAATTCCTTTCCCCCAAACACCTCCATGGCATGTAATAGGACAGTTTGTCTCTCCTTACATACAAGGTATAAAAGATTTCTGGTTCATGGAATGAAGTAACTTCAATTTGAATATTTTGTGTACTTGGTAACCAGTCGTTTAAAATTGCCAAAATGAAGAATAATGTTCTGTAACAATTTTCTTCTGAGACAAACTTTAAGTCTATAAATATCTGATACACTATACTTTTGTATTCCATTTTTCCTCTGATATTTGATAAATATATTAGGGTTGTTCAAATGGCATGTAATAGGACAGTTTTTCTCTCCTTACATACAAGGTATAAAATATTTCTGGTTCATGCAATGAAGTAACTTCAATTTGAATATTTTAAGTAAGCTTGTAAGGTCATACATACTTTAGTTGCGAAGATGTGTGATAGATCGACGCTAACAATATAGGACACTAAGACGTCTGTCTGCACGAAAGAATGCTTCCAGCGCCCAATACCGGGCGGATGAAAGATCATGTAAACGAGCCAAACGAATTTCCAGAACATGCAACAGGAAAGACTTTTCGGCAACGGCTTTCAGATATGTGTCTTCTTTTGCATTTGAAAGTTTGTCCTTCTCCTTTTCATACCATTTATTCTTTGCTTCAATCTCTCCACCCACCTGTAAAGTTTAAGTCTTTGATCAGGATGAGAGGATAAATATTCAGCCCCAGAGACCTTTAATGAATGTGCATGAGTTGGTAATTTCTGACTGCATGATATGAGTAAAGAATTTCTTGTGTCTACCAACAGCTGTGCAAAGTCACCCCTGGTTAACTGGGGATGGCAGATGCTCAGCAGACCAGTTAAGGATGCACTCATAAGATGGCACACACCGTCACAACCCAAATGGCCACAAATGACATCTTCACTGCTGTGAGTACCTCAGATCTCAGATAATAGTCTAACGATGATCCATTTTTGAAAGGAGAAGAGTCAGTCACAAATGGCGAGGTATTTTTTTCCATACTTTTCCTTCGTTTCTCACACATAATGGTGTAGTCACCTTAAAAGAGACTACAATCAATACATTCCCAAATTATAACTCTAAATTTGCCCATAATTTGTTGATATCTCCACAGTCTTAGCAATTGAAGTCCAGGCATTAAACATTACCAAGAAAAGGGAGAAACCCACAAAGTCTTCAAAAAAGAAATAAGTGTTGGTTAGTCCTATACAAACTTCATTACTTTGACCATTTTTTTATTATTTTATACGACCAGTTCTTCAGTGCCTGAGCACTGCAGTTCCCAACTTTTCATTGGCTCTGATCTATAGACAGTTGGTAGGACTCCTTGGACGGGGGATCGGCCCGTCTCAAGGCCTCTACCTTTACACAGGACAACACAAAACAGAAAAATGCGGATAAACATCCATGCTTTGAGTCGGATTCGAACCCACGGTCCCAGTGACCAAGCTGCACAAGGCCCACGCCTCAGACAGTGCGGCCACTGTGACAGCACTATTTTGACATACAACCAACACAGCTAACTAGATAACTCATTCCATGATATATAATCGTCATTGACAAGTTGATGATCACTCAACTTGTCAAGAAGTCTGCTGCTGTTAAAAGCCTGCCAGTGGACCTCATCTTCAGTCAGCTGAAGTCAGCACACACCTTCACATTACATTTCCTTCAGATACATTCTAATATTATTCTCCCACTTAATGATTAGGTCTCCCAAGTAATCTCAGCAATGAGATAATAGTATCAGCAACCTGATGATTACCTCATCAAAATATCCCTGAATTTTACTGATTCTGCTGACAAGCTGCTGTCTGAAGTCTGCAATGCAGTCCTCCCTGATCTGCAAAGCCTGACGCTGCGAGACTGTTTCCGGATTGCCGATACGAGCAAAATAGGGGGCTAGAAAATCAACGCCTGTTTCAACTTCTCTTGCATCTTGAGCACGTATTTGCTTGTCCTGTGTACAAATATATCAGACAAAAAGTTGTTAATAAAACATGGCAACTGTAGAATAACATAAATATGTAAGAAAATGGCAGGCATGCTTTATGCACGAGACAATGAGTTATACATTGCAGTTTACATTAAATCTTACCTTTAAATCTAACAATATTAAAAACTACATTCGAGTGTAATAGCATTTATTTTTAGTTGTGTCACGTATAAATTCTAAATTAAAAATAAAAATCCGTAATTGCATTTATATTATGCTCTTATGGCAGTATGTAACAGTACAGCATACCAACACTTTTTCCATAATTACAAATTCCATTCTTTAGAAAAGCAGATCAGTAAAAAAAACTACAAACTTTTCAAAGGTAAGCTTTATATTTTCACTTAAATTCCTATTTTTTTTTCATTATCCTTTCCCACTAATGAGAAAAATGAAAGGGGAGCACTGGTACTCTGTCTACAAAAAGAGCCCTATGTATATTAATGTTTTATAATATGCATTTCTTTTAGAAAACTTATACTTTTATGTTGTCTTACAAATTTATTATATGCATATGTTACATATTATCAGAGGTCAGTATATTTAAATTCTGTTAACAATACACTAATGAGCTTACTCTATTTTTCATGTTCTCCTTCGCTAATTCGTTCTTTTCCATGTTGAAGATAGAGACATCCAATTGTGGTTCACACAATTCAATGGAACGCTGTTGAAGTATTGTACTAACCTGGAAGTAGGAAGTGCTGTCATGAATAAGACTGAATGATAGAAAGATGAACTGAAATGAATCTTTCAGATTAGTTATGTTTGGCTGCAGTAAAACACTCCTGGTAATGCAATGCAATTTATAAGATGAATTTCCTACTAAGAGAGCTATATAGGAATGTGTTCTAGTGTGCTCAAGATGACTTCACCCCCAAGCAAAGTGACCCTTCAGACAGGAACCTATAAACGCTCATGGAATCCCAGATTTCTGTAGAAAGCAGACTGTCAGTAAATTAGCGGAGCTCAACAACACCAAGCAATCATTTTATTTTGGGGAATTTAAGAGAAAGAAGCAAATTGTTTTCTGGACATTATCCATCGTCCAAGATTAAATAAAATCAATAAAACCACTCAAGTTTCCTGAATTTAAAATGTACACCAAGTCTATACCTGTTATGTAGCTCAAGTCTGAAACTTTGTGATGATGGTGCGTTCTTGTTCTTCGATGATTGATTATGTCCAGAAAACAATTTGCTTCAACAGCGCACCATCGTCACAAACGTTCAGACTTGAGAAACTTGAGGGAATCACTATTTATTACCTATACTAAGAACTAACTCTCTGGCAGTCGAACCCGAGGTTCAGCACCAATGACACCAAAGCCTGACGCTGGACACAGTCCTGAGCCAGTGAGATCTATCTGCCACTCTCAAAATTTATTTCTCAAAGTAATCCCTTCAGTTGGTTCTCTGTCTTTCATGTGGAAGAACACACACTTCAGCCAGATTCTGTAGCAGTATCCACTTCTTGTCTCCCCATCCTAGATATACATCCTGCTCATCAGAACCTGTTACACCTCCAACAATTTCATCGCAAACCTTTCTTTTACTATAATAGTTCTAGCTAGACACATACATTTTTAAACGTTCTCAAATGAGTTGTCATTTTATAACTTTATTGCAGATTCTGACTTTGCGACAAGCTTTACTTCTAGTTATCTTGTAACAACAAAATACAGAATTGACATTTGATGTAACATATGAAATCCATATACTTATTTCTAGGATCATATACGCATGTAAAAATATGGGTAATGCCACGGACACTGCAGTTCACCGACAACATGTTATATGAAACATGTTTATGTATACAGCAAAGAAGGAAATGTGAAGGTGTAGAATATAAGTTTGACATACTTCTTCTTCTATTTGTCTTGCAGAAAGAATAGAATCCCCTTCAGCCTTCATCTGCTCTTCCAGCAATTGGAACAAGTACGGATGCTTTGGTGGAAGGTCTGTGGGATCTGTCTGTGAAATCCCAATAAATGCATTCATATACAGTACGTTTGGAAACTAACGCCTAACCTATTGAGCATAGTTTCTACACCATGAGTTTTAACGTGTACTGCAACTGTTATAATAAATTGCATATTTGCACGTTATACACTAGAGTCCTGATTATCTGACCTAAGAAATACAGAAAGATGGTCAGATAATCTAAAATTAAAAAGACAAGGGTAGATATCAACTTAGTTTATGATATTATTAAATTACAAAAAAAAATGCAATGCAACATCAAATAATGACATCTCACAAACAAAACTAGTATTCAACATAAAGTAAATTAGTAAATTAAAGAGTTTATTTTTAATTGACCTAAGAAATACAGAAAGATGGTCAGATAATCTAAAATTAAAAAGACAAGGGTAGATATCAACTTAGTTTATGATATTATTAAATTACAAAAAAAAATGCAATGCAACATCAAATAATGACATCTCACAAACAAAACTAGTATTCAACATAAAGTAAATTAGTAAATTAAAGAGTTTATTTTTAATAAATTAGTGAGCCTCCTTCCTTTTCTTTGCGGCAAGGACACGCCAACACCTGAACAGTAGAGCATCTGCAGCAACTGAGTACATAAAATGCAGAAGGTGAATGATGGGGGAGTGTGATTCATTCTACTACATGTCAAGTTGACTGTTGATAAAATAGAGTGTTCTGACATGACACATCAGATAAAATGGAATGTCAGATAACTGAAGGTTGGATAATTAACACTGAACCCCAACCCAAGGCAACACAGTCAGGTTCACATAATTGTGCTATATTTCTGTGAGATCTATTTTAATATTATCCCAGGAGTCCACTTATAAGCATGGATAAATTGGGTATTCATGGCTCTAAGATACTAACCTGTCCCCCGCCGTAGCCGTGCGGTCTGAGGTACCATGCTTTGGACCAGCGATACGGAATGTGCGCTGGTTCGAGTCTCGGGGGGGGAAAAAATTTTCTCATTAGCTTTCGACCAGTGTATGGGACCGGTGCCAACCCAGCATCGTGAGGAAATTGGGGAGCTACAATAAGTAGCGTAATATGGTCAGGAAAGCTAGCAATGGCTGGGGGTTCGTCGTGCTGACCACACGTCACCCTATATCTGGTTGGATGATCGTTCACCTCTGCTTAAGCACGTGAACGTGAGGCCAGCAGTCAAGCTAGTCGGCTTTGGCTCTCTGGAGCTGTTACGCTACGGATTTCATTTCATTTAAGGATACTACCCTAACACTTACTTGGAGGTACCAAAAGAAATCCAGTCACAATATCTGATCCCCATTCACAGGTTTCATGTAATTCATCAGTATGTGGGATATTAGATTTTCATGGTGGTACGGAAGATGATGAACATCATCATAATTCATCACTGTTCATCATCCTATCAAATCTCATCAATGCCACATAATATCCACAGATGATACAATGTTGTAAAATAATTAAATGAACTGAACAATGTTGAGCTCACCTGATATCCTACTGTAAGGTCTGGATTAAAAGTAAGCCTGTCAGTCATTTCGGTCAGAGGCGGCTTGATGAACTCACGAGTGGCCGCTGTAACTTTACCAGGCGCATAGTGAAACTTCAGTAAGATGTGGTTATCTGTCACGGCAAAAGTCCGGCGAGCGACGTCACTGTCGGCATTCTTCTTGGGATTTCGATGGAACTCCTCAACAAGTTTCTATAAGAAACCACGTCTGTCACTTCAAAGCAACTAAAACTTAGTGACTAGATTCATCACAAAAATAACAATTCATATGAGGAGTACCCACAGAAGTTGGTGTAATTTCTTGTTGTTACTTATACAGCCACCCACACTTTCAAAAACTTTATCACATTAGTCACATCGGTATAAACATACTTCTCACATTCAAGAATGATATCATTCTCTGACTCAACCACTGTGAAAATTACTTTTTGGCTAATAACTTACACCCTTGTACTTTCTGTAGTAATCATAATACATACCGGTAAACAGAGTCCAAATTCTTTTGTATTTTGTTGGGATATGTGAGGGGACCAACACCAGAGTGCAGCAATCTGTTATATGGAGGTGAGCACAGTGGAAAAGCCAGCCGCAGTGGCCACGCGGTCTGAGGCATGGTCCTAGTGCGCCTGGCCGCTGCGACCATGGGTTCGAGACCCACTCAAGGTATGGATGTTTGTCAGCGTCTCCTCTTCCAGTCTGGTGGGTAAAGACTGGCTACAGATGGCAAGGCAAAACCACCGTGGTACTTTAGCAAGAAAAGCCCGAAAGGGGTCACGACGGTCAAGCTGACCATAGACGATGAAAAAAGAAACAGTGGCAAAAGTGTTGATAACCCCTCTATCCCCCTCTCTCATTTACAAACTCCCTGATGGTAAATGTAAACCAAACTACATATTTTCTGCTTTCATTCCTTACCAGTACATTTCTGTTAGGTCCCTCCATTTGGCCCTGACCTCTTGGTTGATAGTCCACCTTACGATAACATAAGAAGTCTATACGATCCTGAAAGTGTTGTACAAGATAAAGTGGATCCATTTCCAGTTTTTCCAAGCCATCATGACGAGCCATGTGGTAGAACAGCATTGTTCGCTTACCTTCAACTCCATTCCATCCCAAGAAGAAGGAATGTTCTGTCAACAAAATTAACGAAGACAAAATTTAATTTCAGAAACTAAAGTATGCCTGTAGTTCAGTAAGGTTAATTATCTAGTGTGAACGTTGTAACATCTTTTTATGACTAAAATTCTGTAATTTAATATTTGCCACATTCATTTTCAACAACACCTAAATATGACCAAACAAGAAGACATTTATCAGTTCATGTAAAGAAAAACTGAAATAATAAAAAACCAGGTTTTGTTGGAAATGTTGGGTTTCAGAAGGTGAAATGATGAAGTCTAGGAAATAGTCTGTGGCTTGCTTTGGCACAGAACTGAAAATGGTAGTAAGCAGGTTGATAAAAGAGAGGCTCATCGCCCTGATGATGGAGGCAGTATGAACCTCTGAAACATCGGTAAACTTCTACCAGACAACACGACACAACAACCCAGAAGACAGCCATTTTCAATCATAATCATCTTGAGCGGGGAGCTGTTGTTACAGCAAGGCAACAACTGTAAAGAATCGCTGACATGTGGTAAATTGCGATTATATATATTGTTAAAAATGGCTACACTAAGCTGGCACAGATGGATTGAATGATTTTTAGCAGAACACTGTAGTTCTAGACTTCAATTTAAATATAAATTACATAACCAAGTACATAAACTTAAATAACTGTAAAAAATGCCAAATTATTTTTTATCCTACTTGCTAAGAACTTGGAAATCATTCATCAGTTCCAAAGACACTTCCTTCCGCGCTGTCATAAAATGTTTCATCGTTGCGTGTGTCTGAATTTCTGTCTGAAAGCATACGACTTTCCTCCACCAAACTTATCAGACGTTCAACATCAACTTCGGCTTCACTCAACTGACCTACCTGCACTAGTCTACAAGTTTCATACTCAACTTAAACTGAATTATGCTTATAGGTAAAATACAAAATGTTGTTCTACAGCTGCTTTACTTCCTTTTGTGAGTTCCCAGAATTAAGGAATATCTGTCAGAAAATGTGTTTTATGGAAGTACACATTTGGTTGTACTGGTCTCTAGGAAGTGGTCTGTTATTTAACCAGTCTGATACCATCAGACTGTAGTGAGCATTCCATTGGTGCAACACTGGTGAAATGTTTTCACTATATAAAGGAAATGTCAATGTGTTCGTCCATCTGTTTTACTCAACAAACTGTCAATTTTAACATGCATTAGAAAAATATATTGAGTAAAATTGGCCCAACACTTATGCTTACTTATAGAAACACAGATTCAGTTTTACGGTTATCTTTCCTGAGATGCGTAAGTTGACGCGTAAAACTGCGTAACTCTACCTCTGAGGCAGTCGCCTCTCCCTCGATGACACGTAAAACTGCATAACTATACCTCTGAGGCAGTCGCCTCTCCCTCGTTTGAAGACCTCCACGGTGCAGTTACTGATCAAATTTCTCCTGACTTCCAGAAGGCAATCAACACGATTGCTGTAATATTCGTACACAAACTCTGGACGAATCCAATCATAATCTGCATAAGCAGTAATCCGAGTCACCAGCCCATCTTCCTGCACGTAGGGTGCAAACTTCTCCAGTTTGCTTTTCTTATACAGAACTGTCTTACTGCCTTCAGGAAATCGATTCTCATACGCTGCAAAAATCAAATATTTGTACACTAAGTTCTGTGAACTTGACTCATCAGACTGCAAACATAAATAAAACATTTCGATAGCCATAGAATTTGGTACGAACAGCTCTGAGGCTGGAACAAGACACAAAGATTGAATGGGGTTATAGTTGACATAACCTAAAAAGACAGTGAAAGATATTGTACTCATATTCCCACTACTTATTTTCTGATCTAAGACAATGAAGATTCTGAAGGTTATTAATGTTGCCCTATCATAACAGAATCTGTCCTTCATCCTTATTCTGTGATAAGAAATATTTATTTTCATACCAACCAGGAAATATAAAGCATAAAGTCTTGAAACTGTAAACCCCTTGAACTCTGCCTGATTTCAAGCAATGAAATAAGAGTGGGACCTACTACTCAAGATTCAGTTTATTGCGCCATGTAGTCTTGTAGATTTCCACCTACCAGACTACACAGCGCAACAACCCAGAAGACAGCGATCTTCAGGCTCACCGCCGTGAAAACCTCAAATCGTACAAAATATCATAAACTGATGAACACTCGCGAGTCAAAGTCCAGCCAGCATCCTTGTGATACAGAACTTTAAATCCTGTATTCTCACCCAGTAAAAGATAACAATTTCTGAACTACAGGACTTTTTATCGCAAAGATCGCCGCTCTGTGGTCACTACAGATAGACCCATCCATGCTACGAGTAAAATCAATTGTCTACCCACGTTTATTGTCAAAAAAAAAGCCAAAGATACTACATCCTAAACTGAATTGAACTAATCCAATAAGAAGTGTATCAACTTCACAATAGTAGCTCATAACTCTTACAGACATAAGCAAGGAGCGATGTTTTGCTGAAGAACAGAAATATGGACAAAATATGAAAATATAAAACTTTGTTTTGTTCTTTTTATCATCTCCTTTCCACTTTCTCTCCCTTTTCCTGACTGCTTACCGACATTTGAAATTTCCAGCCTCTCCACCCAAGATGCAGGCATATCAAGATGTTTTTCTGCCAAAATTGTGTCAGCAGAGACCTCCTCGTCACCATGATCCGACTTCCGAGCCTGCCAAGGTTCACCTGGTAAAAGATGCTCCCAGCATTTCAAATCGGTCAGCTCAAACTTCAGTTTCTAAACAAAACAAAGTTTTACTGTACAATTAATTTACCACTATATTTTCTTGTATTGCAACCAATACTTGACTTTCAGTTACGATGTCCATTTAGAAAACTTTGCAATAGTACAGTTCATTAATTTCTCTTCTTCTTCTTCTTCTTCTTCTATGGCTCTCCAGTCCATATTCAGTCCATGGCCTCCTCAATTCTCCTCTTCCATTCGATCCTCTGTTAGGTCCGTCTGTCCGAGGCTTTGATTGAGGTTTCAAAACATCATCCTTTTTACAATGCAAGGTTGTTAGCCTTGCGACCAACCCCCAACCTGGAGGACCAGGGTGCCTGTCTTAGTCTTACCTCTCGCCCTACCAGTAGCTATGGGGTCACTGAGGTACTCAGCCCCACCACCATGACAAGCTGATTCCATGCATACTACTTATTCATCGCCCTGATGACAGAGGCAGTATGACCTCTGAAACGTTGGGAAACATCGACCAGACTACAGAGCGCAACAACCCAGAAGCCAGAAATCTTCATACTGATGACGGAGGCAGTATGACCTCTGAAACGTTGGGAAACATCGACCAGACTACAGAGCGCAACAACCCAGAAGCCAGAAATCTTCATACTGATGACGGAGGCAGTATGACCTCTGAAACGTTGGGAAACATCGACCAGACTACAGAGCGCAACAACCCAGAAGACAGAAATCTTCATTCATGCATTTGTGTTCCTTCATAAAGTTTTTAACCCCTTGCAAGGCTTGGCGTGTGACTTCAAGCCAAGAACGCAGGGATGTTTTCTGCTAGTGACATCTCTACAACATTATTTAACTACAAGAACACTGAAATGAAAAAGGAAAGAGTCGATCTACATTAAATTTAAGTTCTTTTCACTCCATTTCATTTGAAAAACATTGTGTATCTGAAATTACTTGCCAAGGTAGGTTACAGTTTAAAAGTTCACGATGGCAAGGAAATTGTTAACGATGAATGAAAACGAAAGTTCTTTACACTTACCTTGCACCCTTCACTGCAATTCTGGAGGTTTACCCAGTAGTTAGCGTGGTTCCACATACTCTCCAGTCCCAGATAATTAGGATTGCTTAAATCACACTTATTGCCAGTCAAGGGATCGATGAAGAACGTCTCCTGAACGTCCATACAGGTGGGCAACACGACCACCCAACTGTGTACTCTAGTGCCAAAAATATCGTCCGGGGGCGGCTTTTCAAATTCCTGCCAGGATAACATAACAAAATGGCAACAGATATTACATGTAGCATGAAAGCAATTTTTTGGACCAGTTTAATTAAAATTAAATAACACACACTATCAGATCCCTTGACAAATATCCGCTCAGGATGATTTTGATATTGTTTTACACACAATATATTCCAAACACAAAACACAAAGGTGATTTGATGCAGCATCTGGAAATAATAAGAGAAGAAATAAAGAAGAATCCATGCAGATAACAATGCCTCTCAATTTTAATGTAAATTAAATGACTCCATAACACCTATTTCATGGAGTTTGCCGCCATTTTATTAACAAGGGGCTCGGACCATCAAATTAAATTTTCTTTATCATTTTCATTTTGGCATTTGGAAGTAGGGACAGGCAAGATGTATTGATATATGTATCAGTACTTTAATACTGGTGAATCAAAATATCTGACATTTTCTGTGCTGATAACATAGGGCTACGATAACTATCTGAAAATTAAAAAGGGGCTCACATGAGGACCTTCCAGCACACCCCTGTTCTTTCCTTTCTGGTTACACAAATAAAATAAACTAATATGTCTGAATATTTAATTTGCCCATCGGCTCCAAACGCAGATGTGGAAGAATGGCAAAGGATTTAAGATAACTTCTCCCAGCATAAAGCATCGCTATACAACGACACAATTTTTGTTTGTGGACTGCACTAAACGTGTGACATTTTGTCTCTGCCATTATGGGAAGAACATGGTTTCATGGTGTTTGAGAACAGGATGCTTGGCCCAAGAGGGATGATGACATGACCGGAGGCTGGAGGAAAGTGTATAATGAGGAGGTCAACAATTCGTAATCTCCACAAAATGTTATCAGGGTGAGCAAATCGAGGAAGATGAGGTGTGTGGGCAGCACAAATGGAAGAGAAGTGACATGTGTACAAAACTGAATTGAACAACGTAAAAAGAGCCCACTTGGAAGACCTAGGAATAAATGAGAGGATAAAATTTAAATGAATCTCAAAGAAACCGGATGGGAGAGTGTGGGGAGGATTCAGCTGGCCCAGGATAGTGGCAGTGGCAGGGTCTTTGGGTTCCATAAAGGATGAGGAATATCTTGGACAACTTTACTTCAAAGAGTCTCTTGAATTTTTTTGCCAAACACCTACTTCAATTGCTTGTCTCTCCTCTTCCTCCTTTTTCCGTTGTTCCTCTTCTTTCTCACGTACTTTCTTCATCTCCATCTCCAGAAGAAACTTGCTACAGAAATTCAGAGGACTTTTTATTACGTACTTTGGCTCTGCATCATCTTCAGTCTCCGACTCTATCTAAACATAAACGCAGATGCTTTGCGAATGTATCTTGAAGTTAATGACGATATCGGATGTGGGAAGAACAATTACAGCAAATTTATACAACATTTGTAGGTAAATTCTGCACTCAAATGTCCAAAACCCATTGGCTTCACTCTTAACTGATGACATTTTCAGTAATTACAGACTTTATTCATCGGTAAGGCCGATGAATCATGATGGTCTTGGTATTTACCTTTGTACAGTTTGGAAGATACGGACACACGACTCTCGTCTGGTCGAAATCACAAAATTCCCTGGTGGCATAGCCTGATACGACATACGCGTCATAACCAGAACCAATGAGAAAGGAACATAGGAGCGTGCTGTACTCAAAAATATTTCCCATCTGCCTTTCCATCACCGCAGTTGGTGAGGACAATCGATCTGGCTGCAACAGCACAAGAAACATACAAATCAATGAAGCAAAATACTTTAACCTTTAAATTATACAGGTAAGGCCTCTTGTACCACGTGACAGTACGCTGGATTAGCTTATGTTGTTATTGAAGTGTCATCAATATAATTAAGCAGTGAACACATATAGGGGAGAAAATGACTGTCTTTTGGGATGTTGCATCATGCGGGCTGGTAGAAATTTACCAACACTTAAGTCAGTGGTGCTTACAGCTTCCACCATCAGAGCGATTATATGGGTTAATGCCGAGCTAACCTACATCATTTTATGCAAGTTATACTTTGGCAATGAAGTCTCTAGGTGGTGTAAACATTATCAGGACATGCCAGTAGCAAATTGCAGAATGAAGTGAAGTTAGGTAATATGTGGTCTGAAGGAAATAACACAATGTTTATGTTGAGTGGCAGGCATTGTGGCTCTCAGACTGCACATGGAGGATGTTCTCCTCAAATGGAATGTAATGGTGAATATATTGAATAAACACTCGGGGACAACTGACAAGGAGTGGTCCTCTAGCTTAGGGGTTGTGAATAATGCTAACAACTCCAAAATAATACACAGGGCTTTGAATTTGGTGGACTCCTGACACCGAAAAACATAATGGAGAATTTAATAACGAATGTGCGCAACAAAGTTAAGTTAAAATTTCCGGTAATTTAAATAACTCCAGTAATAACTCGTTACAGTAGCTATTTCCAAAAGTTTTCTTCACGATGTGTCATACGGTGGATCATCAGCCAAGAGTAAAAGGGACATGCGAGCTGTGGTCACCAGACACGCTCATCGTTGGTGGAGAGCATCGCCAGTACCTGCTTTGTTCTGCCATGTCATTTCTGGTCCTTCCACCGACATGAGAATATTGTTTGAGGATGTGCACTGGCAAAAGATAGTTAAAGGTTCCTCCTTCCGTGACATGACACCACCATAATCTAGTACATGCCCAGTCACAGTTTGTCACACATCGCTCCTCTAAGATTGTGATTAAGTTTCAGGTATCACGTCAAAGAGCAGTATGAGAATTTGGAAACATGACAGCTGTCCACGAGAAAATACGTACTGGATGGCAGAAGACGAATAATGGTTTCTGTGTCGCTGCAGGGGCTTCTTGATTGTGCTCTGCAGCCAACTACTACAAATACAGAATTTATCATCATTTAAAGAGCAATCCAACAACAAGTAAGTTTTTCTCCTGCTGGCAGACTGCCTCTGCCCAGTAGCACAAAAGCTACGCAAACGTGAACAAAATATGTTTCATCTCTCATCCAAATCGTCTGACACTGTACGTGGAACATTGGCCGTATCCTGACGAAGAAATATCGAATAAGACAATACTCTATCTAGTGACAGCATTTTTGAAACAAAGGAAGTGTTTTGTTTGTGGCCAAGTGCTCATCGAGGGACAAACCGATTTCAAATAGTGCAGTCAGCCGCACGAATTCAGTATCGCCATTGCGTTCATCGTTTCGTGCGTGAATGGGTTCATGTGTTACGATTCCGTTTTAAATTGAACACCCTGTACCAGCCTGTGAAAGCAAAACCCCTTCTGCAATAATGGAATAACCACTCTTTCTTTTATCGAGTATCTAGCGGTAACAATGATTTTCCAGTGCCACTTACCAAAGCTCCGTTATCGGTATATATCTCATCTCCAGCGTGAAGTGACCACACACATCCACATGTCGTGGTACTTGATTAAGCACAGGGGGCAGTTTAATCTATGGGTGTGAAACTTGGTATCTCATATCAAGGGAAGAACACGAGACTAGGGGTGTTTGAGAACAGGGTGAGAATATTTGGACCTAAAGCAGATAAGATAACGGTAGGCTAGTACCAAATGAGTCTTGGGGGCGGTGCGTAAACCAAGCAGCGGTGTGAAGCAGCTCTGTCTAGAACGCCTGGAACCTCTGCGTCCACACAGGCCTGGTTATCGCAGCATACACAATACCTTAAGCCAGGGGTGGCCAACCCAAATGATCTTTCGGGCCACTTTGGAAATGCATCATAACTCCGCGGGCCACATATAAAATTATGTATCCCCATATTAGATTTAGATACACTATAGACATTTTTTTGGAGTGAAAAATTGAAACATAATGAGTTATTATTATTGTGTTTACTATTATTCTTACATGTAAACATAGATAATATAATAATAATGATACTAAGCGTACATTGTAAAGAAATATATAGCACTAAAAATTAAATATAAAAAATATATAAATATGAATGAAATAAAAATAATGAAATCATTAAAAAATATTTATTTTACTAGTGCGATATTTGTTTCTCCACTCTTTCACTTAGCTTTTGCAAATCGATCTCAATTTGGGTATTTGCACATCGTAATTGGTGTTGCAGGTTAGCGTCCATTATGTTTGAGCGTGTTTTGTGTTTGGTCAATTTCATTTTCGAAAAAAACGATTCGCAGGTGTAAGTTGAACCAAAAGCGCTAACAACTTTTTGTGCCAGATTGGAAAATTTCTCTTTTGTGACGTAAGTGTTATAAAAATCTATTTTTGATTCTGATGTTTCAAAAATGTGTTTTAATTCAATATTGCACTGTAAGTCAACCAGTTCCATTTGGAGATATTCTGGGGCCGACTCGATTTTAACATGAAAGGGAGATGAATATATTTCAAAAATTTTGTTGTATTTGTCTAACTCTAAATTACTGAATCGGCTTTCAAAAGCAGCTGTAAGTTTTCTTATTTCTTTTGCATATTTGATGTAATTGTTACATTTTGATTTCTTAAATTCTTTCAACAATGGAAAGTGGTGAGCGTTATTACTTTTCAATTGCGATTCAAATAACAACAATTTCTTCTGAAATGCTTTGATGTGATTAAATGTATCGATTATAAGGTTATCTTTTCCTTGCAATGATATATTTAATTGATTAAGTTTTTCGACAATATCCACTAAAAAGCATAAATCCAATAACCACTCATCATTTCTTAATTCTGGTACAGGTCATTGCTTGTCATTCATAAACAAGTCAATTTCTTCTCGTAACTCATAAAACCGCTGTAAACATAAACAGATAATTTTTGAATATATGGATGCACAAATAATGTATTTTTTTAATACATTGGTTTTCACTACTTTGGCCATTATAAAATAAATATATTTTGTAAAAGTGTGATGAATCTCGCGGGCCGGAAAAATGTTCAAGGCGGGCCACATGCGGCCCGCGGGTTGGCCACCCCTGCCTTAAGCATTGAGACAACAGAGTGAGTCTGTCCCATTTTGAAGTTCGCACGGTTTCTACTGCACAGAAGAAGCACACAACTTAAAGCACAGCAGTACGTATATGTACCATCCGCTTTAATATTTAGCAACTGTGCATTTTGCGCATATAATTTCGTATATGTATCAGAATAAACAGCAATTATTTCCTTTTAAAGCAGGAACCCTACTGATGTACGAGGTGCTACCCAAAAGTTCAGGGAATTTGCCCATAAAAATAATATCGCTTATCATAATTCCTAGTTTCCACCGTCTCCTTCGAAGTAGTCCCCTTGGGCATGGATACAGCGATCCCAGCGTTTTTTCCATGATTCCCTGCATCCCTGGAAGTCTTCAAGTGTGAGTGTTTTAAGCACCTCCTGGGATTCTGCCTGGATCTCCTCAATTGTGTAAAAACGTCGGCCTTTCAATCGAAATTTCATTTTGGGGAACAGGAAAAAGTGGCAGGGGGCGAGGTCAGGTGAATAGGGCGGGTGGGGAATCACTGTCGTGTTTTTGGAAGCCAAAAACTGCCGAAGAACGAGCGATGTGTGGGCGGTCGCGTTATCGTGGTGGAGAACCCAGCCGTTGTTCTCCAATTTTTCCGGACGTTTCCGCCTAATGCTCTCCCGTAGCCGCTTAAAAACTTCATGGATTGTTCGTCTACTATCTGCAACCATAGCCTCTCGCACTTTCGCGATGTTTTCCGGTGTTGTGCTTGTCGATGGTCGTCCTGAACGCTCATCATCGTCGACAGACGTTCGTCCATCCTTAAAGCGTTTGTACCACAAAAAAGTTTTACTTTGACTCACAGCATTCTCATCAAATGCTTCCACAAGCATGCGGTGGCTTTCTACAGCAGTTTTTTTAAAGCTTAAAGCAAAATCTGATGCAGATTCTTTGCTCTTTAAAATCTGCCACTACAACACAACGTTACAAAAACGCACGAGACTCAAGAACCCGGCCTCTCTCCTTCACTGCTGTTGGAACACTAATTCACAAAGGGTACTGCTCGCCCCATCTATCGGCGGCAGGACATTCCACAACCGGTTCGCGCGTGTCCTTCACTGCTGTTGGAACACTAATTCACAAAGGGTACTGCTCGCCCCATCTATCGGCGGCAGGACATTCCACAACCGGTTCGCGCGTGGAATTCAAATTCCCCGAACTTTTGGGTAGCACCTCGTATCAACCAACCTCTGTCCTCCGAACACTCATTCGCTACTAGGCTGGGTAGGACTCACGGCCGTTAGATTTGTGTTGGGGTCAGTTGTCCTAATTAAGATGCCTGACATTCAATCACCGTCCACCCACGCCGTCGCCCAAATGTGGAACGCAAACAATTGTATCATTCGGCCAAGGATCAACACAGCAACTTACCCGCTAGCTTCGAATTTAAACAAAGATCCACAGATCCATACTTTGTTTAACGAAACTTTCATAAACTGTAGATCAGTCTTGTCAAACAGGACCACTGTGAACCATGAGTAAGGAAGAATGTTAAAAGATGCAGTCGCGGCCAATTTTAATGTACTGTCCCAGGATTTGGACGGGGGGACTGAAGAAAATCATAAGAATCACAGAATGAACCTTTTGAATCCTGTCCCTCCAACCGCTACGTTTTCTTCGAAGGGAAACATTAAAACGTCGTGGTCTTTTAACCATGAGTAAATCCATAAGACTCCTCCTGTCTGGTAGTTTCTGGCGAGTGATCGTGATTGTACCCTAAGAAACAAATCTTTTTTCAGCATCGTAAAAAAATATATGCCTGTCGTTTGTTGTTTGCGCATGTGTTGTTTCTTTTTTTAAAAAATCTTTCCTCCCCAGTTCTGCGAACAAAAAGTGTGTCGATTGTTGCCGAATGGAACGACAATATTCCAGGCATTATTGTTATCACAATCAAATGTTTGTTTGTTTTAAATATCACATCGAATCTGAGAAGTTACGGGCTGGGCTCATTCTTAACAATGAAGTCGCTTGGATAATCAGTTCAAGGTTGCGTTCATATTCAGGCAAGTTCACTGGACGCCATTAAAAACAAAAAGGCATCGACGAACGTAATGCGTGTTTGAGTCTGTTTCGTTTTTGCCTTCCTATCGAGTGACATATACACTTCCCTGTAAACATGAATCAGCTCTGCGCATTCAACATTCCCACGCTTATGAAGGAGTTAGCATCAGAAGGTAGATATTCTCTCGTGTATCATCTGGGGGTTGGACAATGGGGTCATTAACGGCCGGTGCTCTACAGAGACGTAGTCTCACCCCATTGCTAAAACAGAAATAAAAATCTGCGGGCCAGTTTGCCAGGGTTCGAATCCCGGTAGAGGAGGATTCATCTCTTCATGCAAACCTACTCTGAACCCCCATCCACGGAACATGAGTGTCTCATACAAGTTTATTTTAACGAAATGCAAGGCAAAGTAATTTCTGGCTAAGTGTGGTTATGTACGTTTAATAAATATCCGGAGGACGTATACTCTGAAGGACAGCTTTCGATAAAAAAACGTCGAGGTAGTTTCAGGAAGCATTCCTAGATGGCACTAAACAGCCACATTAATTTAAATGCTGTAGTAAAACAGTCAAGTAACAAATGGCGTTTAATTAAGAGTGAAATTAGCAACAACCACTTACTAAACAAGAATAAAAATCATTTATGTTGGTCTGCACCAAATGATGTCTCGAACACAGGTCTGCTTGGTGAAACACGCGACGCGCAGTTCCTTTGTTCGCTCTCTCTCTGCCCACACAGTCCACTTCCCTCGCTCATTTCCTGTCCATTCGCGGTTTTCTCCGCTCGCCCGCGGCGTCCATGCGTGTTCTGGGTTAGTGAGGGTTAGGGGGTCAGCTCCCTGACAAGGCAGACAGACAGATAGACAGGCGGACTGGCTGCAGATTACACGGAGACGCGGAGACCCTCGCCAGCTGTGTCCATCGATCTCCGCATTACGTTCTTGATGCAGAGTCCTTGAGAAACTGACAGTCGCCCAGCTCTCCTTGCAGGGAACCAAAAAATTATCGTGTTCGCAATAACGAGCCACGCCCTGCCGCCATGTTGATGATATTACGGTACAGTAGGGGGGCACAGGCCTGGCTTAAAGTTACTGCTCTGGTTTTCGCCTCATAAGAATGAGGAAACCCATTAACTATCCGTTAACAGAAATTCGAACAGGGTGCCTCTAAAATATTAATACAAACGCTATAACCTGTTAGTTAAAAGGAAAGGGAGATTACAAAACAGAGCACAGGGTGGGAGGAGTTGAGCATGAACCCGTGAAGGAACTACGAAAGAAAGATTCTAAGCCATTATGTCCCCGGGTAAAAAAGTCGTACTGGATGGTTCCGAATGACAGCCGACTTAAGGAGCCCAAATGATTCATCACTTAACCGAAATTCGTTACGTTCTCTTGCGGAAGTTCAAATTGGACCAGAGTTCTTTTAAAATCGCCGCCACGTCAGCAAACTAAATCCGCCCCCTTTTTCCTGTTTCACGCTGCGTCGCACTTAAAAATAGACAAGACTGATAAACTGTACACATATGTGACGCAGATAACACTCGCAGGTGACAGGTAGGCGTGTACCTAGAAGCACAAGACGTTTTATCAGCTGTAACGAGTTCCAAATGTATCCACTCCACAAGAACGGGTGTCTTTAAATCTTCAAGCTTAGCAACAGGCTTATTTTCCAAATTAGGGCATGAATTATCAACAACTGAATTCGAAAAATGAACTGTCTTCGGAAAGCACTGACTGTAAAAGTCAAGTTGACGTTCAAAAATTGATTGGTTTGCAAATTCTCAGTAAAATAATTTCGCTGCTACACAACAAGTTTGCAGTATTCACGGCTAGAGGGCAGTGACGTGTTTCGGAAAACCACTAACAGATGGCATGAAATCGCCAACAGGCCACACGGCCTGACAACCCAGCAGTACGATCAAGATGAAGCAAGTTCTATACGCTATTTCCGAGCAGAAATTTTCGTTCACAGACGCAGATACACGGTATAACGTCTTCACGTTGGACACATTTCGTCTGCAAAGACCAGACTACATTCTACTGCCTACATGCGTCTCTCAGCTCCGACAAACGCAGAATGAGACAGAAATTTCCGTGTGTATTATTATTATTATTATTTAGTGTTCTGTCTGACGACAGGTCCATATGAACAGGATCCTTCCATCCTTTTCTCGGACTGGGACCTGTTC